ACATCACAGGGTACTGGTGACAACAATGGGACAGCTGTGATGTCTCAGGGGACATTGCTGACATAACAACAACGCTGGTGACATCACAGGGAACAGTGGTGCCATCACAGGGATGTTGATGACATCACTGGGGACCAGAGGCCTCACAGAGGAGCATTGAAAACAAAGGGACAACCCTGATGTCACAGGGACATTGGTGACTTTACAGGGACAGGGTTGACATTACAGGGACACCAGTGACATCACAGTGGACTAATGATTAAGGTTAATGACCTGTTAATGACAACAGTTTAAGCCCTGTTGTCACAAGGACATCGGTGACACCACAAGGGACATCAGTGACTTTACAAGGACAGGGGTGACATCACAGAGACACCAGTGACAACACCTGGGACATTGCTGACAACACAGGAGACACTGGTGACATCACAGGGACCTCACTATTACAAATTACAGAGGACTGGTGAAAACAAAAGGAACAGCTGCGATGTCACAGAGCCATCGGTGAAGTCAAAGGCGTCTGGTGACATCACAGGGACATCGGTGACCTCATGGGGATCTGGTGCCACCGCTGGGGACAGTACTGACATCAGAGAGACAGCAGTGACATCACTGGGGACCAGTAACATCACAGGGGACTGTTGACAACAAAGGGACAGACATGATGTCACGGGGACATTGGTGACATCACTGGGACATGGTGCCACTTTTGGGGACAGTGGTGACACCACAGAGACAGTAGTGACATCAATGGGGACATCTGTGACATCACAGGGGACACTGTTGATTCACAAGGCAAGGGATGACATCACAGAGACACCAGTGGCATTAGCTGTGACATTGGTGACATCACAGGGGAAAGTGGTGACATCCCAGGTTCATAGATGATATCATTGGGGACCAGTGACCTCACAGGAAACTACTGATAAGAAAGGAATAGCTGTGATGTCACAGGGACGTCACTGCCATCAGTGACATGACAGGGACATGGTGCCATGGCTCAGCACGGTGGTGACATCACAGGGGGTGGAGGTGACAACACAGAGACACCAGTGATATCATTGGGGACATTGGTGACATCACAGGGGACAGTGGTGACATCACAGAGGAACCTGTGAAATCACAGGCAATTGTTGCCAACAAGGGGAAAGCCATGATGTCACAGGGACATCGATGACATCACAGGGGACCTGGATAACAACACAGAGACACCAGTGACATCATGGGGGATATTGATGACATCACAGGGGACAGTGGTGACATTACATGGACAGCAGTGACATCATTGTGGACCAGTGACATATCCCAAAGACATCAGTGACATCATTGGGAACATCAGTGACTTCACAAGGACAGGGGTGACACCTCAGAGATACCAGTGACATTATCAGTGACACTGGTGACATCACAGGGACATCCATGACATCTTTGGGGACTAGTGACCTTGCAGGGAAATGGTGACAACAAAGAGATAGTTGTGACAACCACAGTGATGTTGGGGACATTGGTGACTTCACAAGGACAAGGGTGACATTACAGAGACAGCCAACCCTGGAGACCCCCTGCTACCAAAACCCACCCACAGAAACCCCTGACACCCAGTGACTTCCACTTGCCCCAGGATGGTCCCAGTTCCCAGCAGTGTGATCCCAGTCACTCCCAGTTCATGCCAGTTGCCTCCAGCATGCACCCTGTCACTCCCAGTTACTCCCAGTTGCCTCCAGCATGATCCCAGTTGCTCCAAGAATGTTCCCAGTTGGTTTCCAGCACGGCCCCACTGGCTCCCAGTTTCCCCCTGTGTAGTTCAAGTCACTCCCAGTTTGATCCTGGTCCCTTACAGTCACTCCCACTATGGTCCCAGTCACTCCCAATTGGATCCCAGTTGCCCCCCAGGTGGTCTCAATTGCTCCCAGCACCCCCAGGATGGTTCCTTTCCCTCTCAGGGACTCCCAGTCTGAGTCCAGGATTGCCCCAGGCACTTTCAGGCACTGCCTGGACGATGCCATTTGCCCCCTGTATGGTCCCAGTTGCTCTCAGTATGATCCCAGTATGAGTCCAGTCACCTCTACTATGATCCCAGGAACTTCCAGACACTTGCAGTACGAAGCCAGTTTGATCCCACTCATCCCCAGTATGGCTGCAGTCCCTCCCACACACTCCCAATATTATTGCAGTCACTCCCAGTAAGCCCCCATCAGGACCCCAGCAGGGGCCCAGCTGCTCCCACTATGATCCCAGTTGCCCTCAGCATGGTTCCAGTTGCTCCCCTTCACCCCTACTCTGGTTCCAGTCACTCCCAGAATGATCCCAGTCACTCCCAGCCACTCCCAGTATATCCCAGTTGCCTCCAGTATGCTCCCAGTCAATCCCAGTATGATTCCAGTCTCTCCTAGTAGGATCCAAGTTACTCCCTGCATGGTCCCAGTTGCTCCCCAGTCACCCCACTGTAGTTCCAGTCCCTCCCAGTAGGATTCTTGTCGTTCCCAATCTCTTCCAGTATATCGCTGTTGACCTCAGCCTGCTCCCAGTTACTCCCAGTATGCTACCAGTCAATCCCAGTATGCTCCCAGTCATTCCTGCTCTCCCCCAGTATATCCCAGTTGCTCCCAGTGTGGTCCCACTCACTCCCAGTTGCTCCCAGTAGCTTCCAGCATGATCCCAGTTGCTCACAGCCACTCCCAGTCACCCCCACTGTGGTCCTAGTCGCTCCCAGTATGATCCCAGTCACCTCCAGCATGATTCCACTTGCTCCCAGTATATCCCAGTTGGGCCATCATAGTCCCAACTGCCCTCAGAATGTTCCCAGTCACTCCCAGTATGATGCCCAGCCACCTTCACTGTGGGCCCAGTTGCTCCCAGTATGATCCCAGTTGTGCTCAGCATGGTTCCAGTTGCTCCCAGTGGTATCCTACTAGCTCCCAGTTGCCCCTAGCATAGAACCAGCTGCTCCCAGTATGATCCTCGTGTGATCACAGTTTGATCCCAGTAGGATCACAGTCACCTCCAGTATGATCCCAGTATGAGTCCAGTCACCCCCAGTACGATCCCAGTAACTTCCAGAAACTTCCAGTATGAAGCCAGTTTGATCCCACTCATCCCCAGTATGGCTGCAGTCCCTCCCACACACTCCCAGTATTATTGCAGTCACTCCCAGTAAGACCCCAGCAGGAACCCAGTAGGAGCCCAGCTGCTCCCAGTATGATCCCAGTTGCCCCCAGCATGGTTCCAATTTCTCCCTTCACCCCCATTATGGTTCCAGTCTCTCCCACAATGATCCCAGTCACTCCCAGCCACTCCCAGTATAGCCCAGTTGCCTCTCACATGCCCCCAGGTGCTCCCAGTATGATCCCAGTTGCCCCAGTTCTGGTCCCGCTGGGTCCAGTCCAGCTCTGGGTGTATCCCGCTGTCCCCCCTGTCCCCCCACCCCGCTGTCACCCCCTTTTCTCTCCCCACAGAGCTCCTGAGCCGGTGGCAGTCACAGCCCCTCCCTGGGGCCTCGGGCACAGCCTGGACCCCCCCCGTGTCCGTGAGGATTTTGGGGGTCGTGTGTCCCCCTCCCCTGCTGTCACTCTGCCTCCACCTGGCTACTCCCAGTGATCCCAGCAAAGCTTCCCAGTTCTCCCCAGTCCCGGTTACTGGGGGGCACTGGGGGGGAATCAGAGGGTCCCAAGGTGTGGAGCTGAGTTTGGGGGGTCAGAACCGGCCCTGAGATGGATCAGAACTGGGGACCCCCTTTGTTCCCCCCGTGTCACCCCACTCTGGGGGGGCTTTGGGAGGGCACCGGCCCCTCAAGAGGAACCCAGCTCACCCCAAAAGGTGCTGGGACCCCTAAACCTCCCAATAGCCCCTCATGGACCCCCAAACACACTCAGAGCCCACCCAGGACCCCACCCAACCCCTTTTCTGGGGGGGCTTTTCTGGGCACTGGTGGTGCTGGGAGCCCCCCCGGCTGCGGGCGAGGAGCTCTCGGGTGAGCGGGGGGTGGGGAGGTCAGTGGGAAAAGGGGGGTCAGAGGGGATAAAAGGGGTGGTGGGACCCCAAAATGAGTGGGAGGGGAGTGGGACCCCCAAAAAGTGGAGGGGGGCAGGGCAGTGAGGTTTGGGGGATGATGGGGAATGGGTAGGAGAGGTGAGAAGAGTGGGGAAAGGGCAAGGTGGGACCCCCAAACTGAGCATGAGGGGGCTGGGGAGTGGGGGGATGATGTGGAAGGAGGAGAGAGAGGGGGAAAAAGTGGGGTTTGGGACCCCTACACTGATCTGGGAGGGGCTGGGGATTGAGGACCATGGAAAAGTGGAAAGAACAGGGAGAAGGGTGGAAGAGGGGGGGGTCTGGTGGGTCAGACAGTCCCATGGGGGTCTTTGGGCACAGAAGGCTGGGAAAGGGGGGGCCCCCTGAGTTCCCAACTTAATGTGGGGTGCTGGGGACTGCTGGATCCAATCTCAGCCTTGGGTTATGCCAACACTTTCAGTTTAGAGGAATTACAGAGGTGGGACTGAAACACTTTTGTCCCCCAGGTTTTAAGGATGGCAAATCACATCTATTGATAGAAATGAAATATTTAGCGTAACAAATGATCAGAAAAAAGATCTTCATCAGAATTATTTACTGCACAATAGAAACACTAAAACTACCAGTAGGACAGCATAAGATAGGACAGTGCTCTACACTAAAGCAATTGTTGAAGCAATTCTACTCCAGCTGGCACCAAAGCAAGAATTATGAATTAGAGATGGATGGAACTCCCCCAGACCAACGCTCGTGGGGAGATCTCTGCTCTCGACATCCAGCAGTGACCTTGCGGGGTCCCAGCCAAGGCAGGAATCTCCACACACCCCCCAAGAAGGGTTCTGTTGGCACAACCTGCCCCTGGCAAAGGGGACTGGCCCTTTCTGGTGGAAAGGGATGGACTGACAGTCACTGGACTCCAGGGGTTGCCTCCTCATCAGGGGGTCATTCAGGGTGGGAGCAGCGGCCGAAGCTCTTCCCGCAGTGGGGCACTCCTAGGGCTTTTCTTTCTCGTGGGTCCGTTGGTGTAGGGTCAGGGAACGGCTCCAGGTGAAGCTTTTCCCACACTCCTCACACTTGTAGGGCCTCTCCCCGGTATGGATGCGCTGGTGCCTGACGAGGTGGGAGTTCTGTTTGAAGCCCTTCCCACAGTCGGTGCAGCGGAAGGGCCTCTCCCCTGTGTGTATCCGCTCATGCATGAGGAGATGTGAGCTGGTCCTAAACCTCTTCCCACATTGCAAGCACTTGTAGGGCCGTTCACCAGTGTGGATACTCTGGTGTTGGATCAGGTTGAATCCATCAGTGAAGCTCTTCCCACACTCCCCACACTTGTAGGGCCGTTCCCCAGTGTGGATGCGCTGGTGCCTGCGGAGCTTGGAGCTGTCCCTGAAGCCCTTCCCACATTCCCTACACGTGTAGGGCTGTTCTCCAGTGTGGATGTGCTGGTGTCGGATCAGGTGGGAGCTGTCCCTGAAGCCCTTCCCACATTCCCTACATGTGTAGGGCCGTTCCCCAGTGTGGATGTGCTGGTGCCTGAGGAGGTTCCAGCTCTTCCTGAAGCTCTTCCCACATTCCAAGCACTTAAAGGGCTTCTCCCTGCTGGGAGGCTGCTCAGGGACCACCAGCTCGGAGCTCCGGTTTAAGCTCCGGCCGCCTTCCTGGCACAGGACGGGTCTTTCCTCCTCAGAGTTCCCTGGGCTGGCTTTGCAGCCCCTCCTCCAGGGGCATCTCCGGGCCTTTTCCTCCCCGCTGCCTTCCTGCACCGGGGAGCCCTTCAAAACGGCCTCTCCCACCAGGCTCTGCCGGGGGGATTTGTCCTCCGTGCTCTCCGTCCTCAGCTCGGGGCCTGGGGCAGGAAGGAAGAAGGACAGGCAGGGGATTTGCCTCCAGCCCAGAGGGAAGGCCAAGGACATCCCCCAGATCCAGCCCCGGCACCAAAAGACAGGGCCAAAGGGCCACTGACTTCGTCCTCACCTGCCTTTGGGACCCGTGGCATATTCGTGGCAGCCTCCTCCTCCATCTGCCCAAGCTTTGGGAAGGACAAATCCTGCTGGGGGGAAACAAGGGCTGAGTGCCTTACCTTGGGGGTTCCTCCTGCCCAAGTCCATCTCTAGAACTCACCGGGCATCCTGGGACCATAAAAACCTCCAAAACATCACTATTTAGCCCCAAAAACCCCACTCAGCAGCTCCTCCTCTCTGGTCTCTCCACTTTGGGATTCTGGAGGTCCCCTCCTGGGAGTCCCATGTGTATTTGGGGTCTCCCCTCTATGGGGTCCCTGCCCTCTCCAGGCTGCTGGGGGTCCCAGGAATCCAAGGCTCCCCCATCTCCCAACTTCAGGGTTCCAGGGGACCTCCCTCTCCAGGGTTATCCTGCTTAGGGATACCAGGGTTGGGAGGGTCACAGGGGTCCCTTCTCCCCTGACTCTGCTTTGGGGGTTCTGGGCCCCCAGGGCTTCCCCCTCTCTGGGTTCCCCCCCTCACCAGGCTGATGGGGATCCTAGGGATCCTGCCTTTCCAGGGTCTCCCCTCTCTGGGTTCTTCAGGGTCCTGAGACTCCCCCAGGAAGGCCAAAAGAACAGGAAAAGAGGGAAAAGGGGTGGCTGGAGACCAAAATTCGGGGTTTGGGCCCCCACCAGGTGGGCACTTCCACCCCTTTGGACTCATCTAAGGAGCCTGGAGATCTTGGAGGGGGGAATGCAGAGATGGACAATGGGGGATCCCCAGGGATTTTGGGGGCAGCAGGAGGGGCTGTGGGAGCCCCTGGCTGGGGGGTCGGGCTGGAGACCCCCCGGTGCTCCCGGGACCCCGGGCTGGAGAGTTGTCACTCCCTTCTGCTGCCTGGGGGGCTCTGGGGGGACCTCGGCTCCTTGGGGCTCTTCTGCAGCCACAGAACCTGCAGGGACCTCCCCTGGGTGGGGCCTCCAGGTGTTCCAGGAGCTTTGGACTCATCCTGGGAGCCACTGGGACACACTGGGATCATCCTGAGATTGTTCTGGGAGCCACTGGGACACACTGGGATCATCCTGAGATCATACTGGGAGAGACTGGGCCACACTGGGATCATGCTGGGAGTGTCTATAACCATACTGGGGGTGACTGGGACTATGCTGGACGAGACTGGGGTTATACTGTGACTACTTGGGACTAGACTAGGAGCACCTGTGTGCAACTGGGATCCCAGTGGGAGGAACTGGGAGACACTGGAACCATGCTGGGGGCAGCTGGGGTCATACTGGGATCACACTGGGAGCAGCTGGGGGAGACTGGGATCACAGTGAGGGGGACTGGGATCATACTGGGAGTGACAAGGAGCAGGCTGGGGGCAATTGGGACCAGGTTGGGGGCAATTGGGACCAGGTTGGAACCATGCTGGGGGCACTTAAACCACAGTTGGGGCAACTGGGACCACACTTGGGGCTACTGGGAGCAACTCAGAGAAACTGGGATCATGCTGGAAGAAACTGGGAAGGACTGGGTGCATCCTGCAGCCACCTGGGCCATCCTGGGACTGGCTGGAACCATACTGGGAATGACTGGGATCAAATGAGGAGCAACTGGAACCATGCCTGGGGCAACCGGGAGCAAGAGGAAGTAACTGGGTCTATACTGGGGGCAATTGGGTCTTAGTGGGAACCTGCTGGGAGAGACTGGGATCATACTGGCAGTGACTGGGCCTATGCCAGGGGCAATTGGGACCACACTGGGAGGAACAGGAAGCAAATGGGACCATGCTGGGGGCAACTGGGATCATGCTGAGAGGGACTGGGATTATACTGGCAGGGACAAAGAGCAGGCTGGGGGCAACTGGGACATACTGGGAGCAACTGAAACAGTGCTCGAGGTGACTGGGTAAAACTGGGAGTGACTGGGACCACACTGAGGGTGACTGGGAGTGGCTGTGAGCAACTGGGACCATGCTGGAAGTAACTGGGAGTGACTGGGACCATGCTGGGGGAGACTGGCATATACTGGGAGTGACTGGAACCAGTGACTGCAATAATACTGGGAGTATCTGGGAGTAACTGGCATCATACTGGGGCTGAGTGGGAGCAATTGGGACCATGCTGGGATTAAATGACATCATACTGGAAATGACTGGTTTCATATTGGGAGCAAGTGGAACCACACTGGAGGGAACTGGGGTCATACTGGGAGTGACTGGAAGGGACTGGCATGATACTGGCTTCATTCTGGGAATTCCAGGAAGTGACTGGGATCATACTGGGAGCAACTGGGATTACAGTGGGTGTGAATGGAATCTTACTGGGGGTTACTGGGAGTTTCATGGTCCATGCTGGGAACAAACTGGCATCAATTGGAAGATACTGGAACCATGCTGGGGGGACTGGGACCACAGTTGGGGCAGCTGGAATCATACTGGGAGAAACTGAGCCCACACTGGGAGTCTCTGGAACCATATTGGTGCTGAGTGGGACCACACTGGCAGCAACTGGGAGTGACTGGGTCTACACTGGGGGCAACTGGGAGTGTCTGGCACCCTGCTGAGGGAGACTGGGATCATACTGGACTCACACTGGGAGTTACTAGCACTACACTGGGGCCAATTGGGACCATACTGTGGTTAAGTGGGATATAGTGGGAGCAACTGGGCTCATGCTGGAGGTGACTGGACTCATACTGGGAGTTACTGGGCTCTGGGAAGCTCAGGATGAGCAGGGTAACCCCCCTCCCGCCGCTCTGAATTCCCAAACTCCTTGTTCCCAGTTCCCACTCTGGCCCTGACCAGCAGATCTGCTCTGGGATCCCATTCCCTGGGGACACTTCCCTGCCCTCTCCCCAGCTTCCTGCTGCTGGAAATCAGCACTTTGGAGCCTCATCCCATTGTTTGCTCCTGCTCTGCCCTATTATTATTGGGATCCCCCTGCACCCCTTTTTCCCCAGAACTGGGACCCCCTGCCAGGCAATTCCTTGCTTTCCAGCCTCCAGACCCCCCTTTCTTTGATTCCAGGACCACCTGCCTCCCCTTTCCTGGTCATCCCGCCTCTCCCAGCCCTTGGATCCCCCTTTTCCTTAGCCCCCATTCCCAGCCATCCCAGGTCACCTCACCCCCAGCCCCCCTTTCCTTCACCCCCAGCACGCCCTGCAGCCCCTTCCCGGCTCTCCCAGCTCTCCCAGTTCCCCCCTTTCCTTCACCTTGGCACCACCCCAACCCCCAAATCTCTGGGTCTCCCCAGTTCCCCACTCCCAGTGCTTCCTGCAGGGGGTCCTGGGGGGTCCCAGGGACTCCCTGAACCCCCCATTCCTGTGCACTGAGACCCCCCCTGCAGCCCCTTATCTGGGACCAGGACCTCCTGCACCCCTTCCCCGGCCATCCCACCTCTCCCAGACCCCACACTCCCTTCACCTTCACCCTGGCACCCCCTGGACCCCCAGTCCTGCCTCTCCCAGGCCCCAACCCCCCCTTTCCTCAACACCCAGGACCCCCTGAACCCCCTGCTGGGACATCTCAGGTCTCCCCACCCAATGAACCACCTTTTCCTGACACTGGAGGACCCTGGACCCCTTTGCTGGGCACAGGGACCCTCTAGACCCAGTCTAGTGCTACTCCCTACATTTCCCCTCTTTCCTTAACTCTGGGACTCCCCTTGAGCCCCCATTTCAGGCCACAGGAACCCCCAGCACCCCATTTTCCAGCTCTGGGACACCCCTACATCCCCTAATCCTGCACCAATAACCTCCTGCACCCCCTTTCCCAGACACCCCACCTTTTCCAGCCCCCAGGTCCCCTTTTTCCTTGACCCTGGGACCTCCTGGACTCCCATTCCTGCCTTTCCATAAAACCAGACCCCCGTGTTTTGAGCACTGAGGAACCCCCTGAACCCCCTTTCCTGCCATTCTGTCTCCCTACTCTGTGACCCCCCCCCTTTCCCCGACACCGAGGACCCCTGCAAGATCCAAACCTCCTCTCCCGCAAAAAACAACCCCAAACCCCCAAGCCCAGAGCCCCCCCAGCCAGCCGGGGCTCGGCTCTGCAGTCCCGCAGCACTTTCTCTCTCCTCTCGCTCCCGGCCCTGTTTCCCAGCTCCGGCCCAGCCCCGCGGCAGCACCAACGCCAGCCCAGCCCCGGGGCCATTCCTTGCCCCTTCCCGGCCTTGCCCCGGGCCCTGCCCGGCTCTCCTCTTCTCTCCCACCCCCCGCACGCAGCTCTGGGGGGCACTGGGGGGATCGGGGGGCTCTGCTGGGCCTTGGCAGCAGCGCCTGGCAGCGCTTGGGCAGTGTGGGGGGAGCTCCTGCGAGTGCTGCCCACAAGAAAACACAAGAGCTGCGGCCACGTGTGCGGGGCTTTGTTGATCCCGGGGGGAATTCACAACCAACAGCGCGGCCCCCACCGCGGGCTCGGCACAGGGGGCTCGGGGGTCCCCTCTCTCCAGGCTCTCTCCTCTCCAGGGACCAAGGGATGGGGACACCAAGGGACCCCGAGGGACCCCGTTTCCCGCTGTCCCACCTCCCCTTATCCCCCCTCTCCCACCCCTTTCGCATCATCCCACCAAGCCCCGGCTCGTTCCCGGTTCCGTCTGGGGGTGACCCACCGGCCCTCGCGCTCCTTTTGGGGGTCCCAGCCCCTCTTTTCCCCCTCTCCCCCCTTTCCCACCCTGTCCCCCCCGCTCACCCACCCGAGAGCTCCACGTGTGCGGCCACCGGGACGGAGCACGTGAAAGAGGAGGGAGGAAAGGGAGGGATAAAGGAGGAAAGGGAAAAGAAAGAGGATCGCCCCGCCCCATCGGGCGGGGAATCGGCCGGAAGAAGCTCGTCCCAAAAATCGTGGTTGGTTGTGGGTTGTTTTTTCCTGGGGGGGTAGCGGGGTGAATGTGTGGATCTTGCAGGACCCCAAAGCTGAGCTGCAGATGCCCGTTGTGGGGATGTTGGGGGTCCCCCGAGGTGTTTTTGGGGGAGCCGGGGTGGGTTGCCGGCGGTG